CCCAACTCCTTCTTGATATTTTTAAATGAATTTCAAATGATATCTAGTCGACATGTAATCCCCTTGAGGGTAGATTACAATTCTTGTTTGATTTATTTTTAATAAAGTGATATCTAGTTCATTTTTAATGAAGTTGTCGTGATATCTAGTTGATCTAGGAGAAGAAAATGTCAATTGAAATTGTATCTTATATCAATCGTTTGATTTACATAAAGAAGCTCATTGAAGCATAGCCGCCATTTACAGTCCAATAAATAATGTAAAACCATACCGATATTAAATCAATTATAATTATAATAGATCAATTATACACATACAGACCTCCACTCCCGGCATTAATTATTTGGAATGACGCATACATCTATTGTCACTTGGGACTATGGGTATACAAAATGTCCGCAATATGAGACATGTCAAAATGTCGGCGGTTTTCAGATTTAACTTGTATACACATAAATACCCCCGCCCCCCCCCCCCCGCCAATAATTATTTGGAATGTGGACGCGATAGAATTTATGACCTATATCTATTTTCACATGACTCCCTGAGTATACAAAATGTCGGCAACATGTGACACGTCAATATTAGCAGATTTAACGACACTGATTCGAGAAAAGAAATTACATGTACATAAAACTGTAACTGTGTTTTAAAGGATGCAGACAACTGTGATATTTAAAAAATACAATGTAAAACTGGCATGATGGTATGAATCACTACAGCTGGCATGATGGTATGAATCAATACAACTGGCATGGTGGTATGAATCAATACAACTGGCATGATGGTATGAATCAATACAATGTAAAACTGACATGATGGGATACATCAATACACACAGGAAAAATGGCAAGATGGGGTGGGATATATAAATATGGTTTTACAATTTAATGCAAATAAATAGCAAAGGCCAATCAAAGTTGATTTGCTTACGTCATTTTATAACAAGAAACCATAAATGTTCATATCCCTACTCCATATAGACGGATGTGTCGAATACGGCCGGTTTTATTTCAATATACCATATATTATGAATCCTAAAGATTTGTTTTACTTCTTAAACCTTTACTTATATCTTAAAGGGACATTATATCTTCCAATCTTCGATTTAATTTGGACACAGTTAAAAGTTAATCTGATTGTTTAACCATCGTCAAATCCTTCTGATAAAAGTTATAATTTAAACATTAATACAGGATGTTAAGTAATAATCGGTGTAGTCCGAGAGTGTTCCTTCGGATTATCCATCCTTGTTTTCTCTTGTCAGTGGTGCAGGAGAGCGACGTCCCCTTGTCAGTGGTGCAGGAGGAGAGTGGCAAAGTTGTTCGGATGGAACGAAAAAGGGGATTTCCATTTTCACATTGGCGTCAGTATTCAAAGAGAAATTGGTGCAGGATGGAGGGCCTGGCAAAGGGCCAACGTATAGTCGTTCGGATGGAACGCAAAACCGATGCCCCATGTACACATTAGTGTGCATGTAAGAAAGCCCTTGACAGTTGGAATTCGATACAAGAGAAGGCCGTAGAGCCGCTGTCCGTGCAAAATTTGTGTCACATGCTCATCTTTAATACCCAGCTTGTCTTTCTTTTTAACATCCCGGTGCAGAAAGGTAAAACGTTAAACTGTTAAACCCCTTTCACGCGGGAAGATTTATAGTCAAAGCCACATTACATCTTGAAAATTATAACCCCTCTTTACGAAAACGTCACTGTCTCTTTGTTAATTTGACAGTTAGTGTCAGCTTTATTTGACAATAAATATATTTTATAAATGCTTTTATCACCGTGTGTTATTTTATTTTATGTTCAATGAAGTCATAAAAACTACCCCGCAGACATTTGATTGATAAAGCAGCCCAATACAGCATATAAATATTATATTTTGTACACAATTGGAGACAGATTTTAAATGAAATTCATGAAATGGGGTTTAACGTCATTAAACTGTCCTCAAAACTTTTAATTCGTCGGAGGGGACAAAATAGGGGAATGGGTAAATGTATTGAGCGGGTATATAATGAAATTAAATGAAATGAAATGGGGTTTAACGTCGTACTGTTCTGCACCGACTGGAATAATGAAGACGGACATACGCCATACAGTGTGTTATGAGGGAAATATTTCCCTGACAGCGACGCTACGGCATACTCTTATATTGAATTCCAACTGTAAAGCGTTCTTTTACGTGCACGCCAGTGCATACACGGGACCTTGGTTTCTCGTCCCATCCGAACTAATCTGAAATGTGTCGGGAGCCGCCGTGACTCAGTTACCCCCTTGGCTCTCTAGCCTGGACGTTGCGGGTTTGACGAGAAAGTTCACCAAGATTTCCCGGCGTGGTTTCCCCTTGTCAGTGGTACAGGCCGGAGGGCCTGACAAGGGCAGCTGTCTAGTCGTTGGAGTAGGACGAAAAACCGAGGTCCTATCTACATATATTGGCGTGCACGTAAAGGAACCCTTGGCAGTCGAAATTATATGGCGTGTGGGGAAATAGAACTTTAAACCGTTTTTTAATTTATTTCATATAAAAAAAAAAAAAATTAAAATACGATAGTTGAGAGATAAATGTGATAAATGCAATGTCATTTGAATTCTTTTTCTAAGGAGATTTACGCACTTGTTATGTCGGTCCCTGGCCTTTATATAGTCAGAAAATCTCACAAGGGATCAGAAATTGTTTCTCGCCATGTATATACCACAGCTGTCCAACCTCGTTGGTTTTCTTCGGGTCCCCCGGTTTCCTCCCATTGATAAAAACCGCTAAGCGCAAGCGAATTCTTGAAACAAAATTGAACTTTTATTCCTGAAATGACCTGTTTTTTGTCGAGTGGAGGTTAAACCTCATTTCTCTCTCTCATATATCATAGCGTTGCTGTCTAGGTCAAATATCCCTCAGAGAGCACTGCATGGTGAATGCCAGTCTTCATTAGCCAGGGTGGAGCAGAACATTGGGACGTTAATAAACCCCATTTCATTTCATTTCGATCACCAGAGAAAATTCAGGTTTTACACCTTACTCAAAGGTTATAACGCAGACTGGTGCACTATGTCTAATAGTATTTAAATGCATACACACCTCAAATGATCGTCTGCAAAATGTCGTCTGCTACATTTTATCAACTCGGGTGTTGTCGTGTACGTGCTGTGCCATGGAAACGCATGTATGTTCCTTGTATTTAAGTTAATACACTGAAAAAAAACTTGTGTTGAAAGAACACAAACTTGTGTTAAATTCAACACAAGTTAGGTGTCTCTATTTAACAACACAAACTTGTGTTAAAACAACACAAAACTTGTGTTAAAACAACACAAAACTTGTGTTAAATGTTGAAACAACACAAAACTTGTGTTAAAATGTATCAAACAACACAAAACTTGTGTTAAAATGTATCAAACAACACAAAACTTGTGTTGAAACTTGTGTGAAATCTACACAATACTTGTGTTGAAACTTGTGTTGAAATTTCTGAAACTTGTGTTGAAATTTCTGAAACTTGTGTTAAAATTTCTGAAACTTGTGTTAAAATTTCTGAAACTTGTGTTGAAATTTCTTAAACTTGTGTGGTTTCATACAAACTTGTGTATAACCATCATCAAAAACTTGTGTTGTATTTTTCCCCAATTTATATCCAGCATAGCAACCTTTCTATGCAGGACCCCTCTCTTTGCTCTGTTAGACCTGTAAAGTTTGATAAAAGAAGGAAACAAAAAAAAATTTTGTAAGATTATTATTTATTCATAAAATCATAGGAAAAAGTAAATTAATACATCAAAACTAAATAGATATTTGAAATGTTAACAGAAAAACAGAGACTTCAATTCTAATACAAATTATATTGTGTTATATATAATGCCCCCCCCCCCCTACTTTACCCATCACAAAATATAAAATAGCTATTTAAATTGTTTTTTGCCCCACACACTTTACCCATCACAAAATATAAAATAGCTATTTAAATTGTTCTTTACCCCAAAACAAGAACTGAGAATATAAAGATATGTACACAGTATCCCTACCCCATACCCCAAAATATATAATTCAAATATATCTAAATTTAATAACATCCAAACTAAGCACTAATAAGATTAATTATGCACTAAATTGAAACAATTTCAAAAACTGAAAAATGCTACAAAATCACACTACAAGTGATTTGTGAGGCATCTAGAAATAACTAGCATACACAGAAAACTAACAAAAGAAAATTGCTCTATTTTGCAGGAGTAATAAAATGATGTAGAGCCTTTTCCTCATTTAAAAAACCCCAAACAAAATGAATATTTTATAAATAAAAGAAGCAAAGCATCAAGATTACAGGATTGAAATAAAAAAATATCATATGTACAAAAGATTTATATACAATCACAAGTCATAAGCCACAGTGGTTCAGTGAGCATAAGGCGTTGGCCGCGAAATTTCAACTGGATTTTCCGGCATAGTTCCCACTTTTCAGTGTTGGATATGGCAAGGGATAATTGGGTACAAGCCCAGAATCAAAAGAGAGAGAGACAGAGAGAAATGGGGTTTAACGTCTACTCGACACAAACTAGATCATTTTGGGACTAACATATGGTTTAATTTTATTTCAATAATTCGCTAGCGCGTAGGGGTCTTTAGCAGTGGGAGGAAACCGGAGGTCCCGGAGAAAACCCACAAGATTGGACAGGCGACCCCACTCCTTGTCTACAACCGGGGATTCGAAACCATGCCAGTTGACTCAATGACAGGAGGCCGTATGATACAGCATGCACGTGCTAACCATTCGGCCATCCACCCCCACCCCCCAGAATTGAAACCAACCCAACTGCGTACACTTTGAAGAACCCTTGAAAATTGAATTATTTGAATCAATGACAGACCTTCAAATCAAATGTGTGCGTGTTAACCATTCGGCCCCCCTGGGTACCCTCTAAAGAACCCTTGACAGTTGAAATATTTGATATAAGAATAGGGTAGAATCACTCTAAGAACACAGAAAAGCAGGATATTAAAACGTATTTCATTTTATAAGCAAGGGAAAGTCACCTTAATGTAGGTCAAGGTTTTTTGTAATTCTGGGTGTATTTGATCTACATTTGGTTTCTAGTAATGCCTATTAAATACTTTATGATTTCCGACCAAATTCTAAGTGATTTATATGTCAGTTTACTTGCTATATTATACATACATATTTGAAGAGAATTAAAATCTAATTGTGTTTTGGAAGAAAATTTAACATTAATAACAAAAAATAAATATTTAAAAATTGGGTCAAATGCATTCTTTCCCAGAAGTATAAAATAAATTGATGCTTGGGTTCTCTTGTTGTTATCATACACCAAATACTCTTTCAAGGGTGTTCCAGCCTAAAAAATAAAAAGTAGGCAATAAGAATACAATGTTTAAATAAACAATTTATTTTGCCACATCGAGACTGAGTCTCTATTTGGTTTCAACTTTGCGTAACGCTTATTGTGTCTTGTCCACTTAAAGACCCAGGCAGATTATTATGCTCAAATCAAATGGGTTAAAAGTCAGAAAAATGAAATGAAATGGGGTTTAACGTCCTACTGTTCTGCTCCTATACTGGGCTAATAATGACGGGCATATGCCACACAGTGTGCCCGGGCAGCGGCACTATCATCTATTCTTATATCGAATTCCAACTGCCAGGGGATCTTTTACGTGCATTCCAATATTCGTGTCATCGGAAGGACTAGACAGCTGTCTTTGTCAGGCCAAGTCAGAAAAAAGTCTTGAGATTTGGGACTGAAGTCTCATAATAGGTCAACTATTCACCCGGTTCATACATGTATTGTCTGCAAATCCAGATTCCCTACTACATCATTGGCAGCACCTATTTACTTGGCAATGTCTAATTATTTTTGGACCCATTCTTATTTTATTTCCATTGACAACAAATTGGATATTACCCTTTAAAATCTATTGAAATCTATTTGAAAAGTAAAATATTGTCCATCATTATTTTACTGCTATTTACTGTAATGGATGTGATTGGCAAAAATCAAGCATGCCAAGTACTTGAAATAGCTGAGTCCTAGGCATTGCCCCAAGAAGAATAACTAGATTACCAAGCAAGTGTATAAAACTACTTCCTGATTAAAAATACAAATATGTATGTTACTTACATTTTGCCTGATTATCAAGCTCTGTGAGAAAAGTTTCCACAATATGAATAGCCATTTCCAACTGTTTTTATCTTTCTGATGTAGTTAACTGGAAAAAAACATACTATGTATGAGATGACTTAAATTGACTCAACAGTTAAAAGATGAAAGTTTTAATTTACAGTCTATATTTTACACAAATTTCTGGAGAGAATTAAAATATAATTGTGTTTGAGAGGGATATTTAACATTAAAAACAAAAATAAAATGCAACTGATAACTTATTAGCTTTTACAATCACTATATTCTTTTTCAAAATTATAAGGAGATCACATGGCTAAGAGGGTACGACGCTGGCTCACTAGCCTGGAGGTCGGGTGTTCGATCCCTGAATTGGCTGAGAAAGTTCATCCAGATTTTCCGACGTGTCTTCCCCTTGTCAGTGATACAGGACGGAGGACCTGACAAGGACAGCTGTCTAGTCGTTTGGATGGGATAAAAAAACGAGGTCCTGTGTACACATTGGCGTGCATGTAAAAGATCCCTTGGCAGTTGGAATTCGATATAAGAGTAGGCTGTAGCGCCACTGCCCGGGCAAAATTTCCCTCATAGCACACTGTATGGTGTATGCCCGTCTTCATTAGCCCAGTTTATGAGCAAAACAGTAGGATGTTAAACCCCATTTCATTTCATTTTCAAAATTATAAAATAATTTGATGGTTTAATATTCAAGTATTATGACCAGGTAGAATTAGAGCATAGTTAATTTGAGGCCAGAGCCATTATAGATTAGCAAGAATCCTAATTAAAATAAACTCTGTAATTATATTAGAGAGACATTGTTTCATAAATTATTATCTATTGTAAAGTTATTCCAGTAAGGTATTAAGGATTATATTGTAACTAAAAACAAAGCTAAGGTATAAAAGTCCTAAAAATTGTATATTAAAGAAAAGGGCAGTTAACCACAGGCAGACAGAGGACATACTGAAGGGCAGGTCTCTGATACGTAATTTCTTAGATGCTGTTCCTTATTAAGTTACCTATCCTGTGGGTCAGTATTATATGTATATATTATCTTTGTTAGATATTGTTACAGAATATAAGATTATACCAAGAGAAGTGAGTTATTGAATTATTGTATGTTCAATCGTACACCTCCAACTAGATTGAACATACAACCCATCGTCGAAGGTTGAACTATAAGTAGGTCCATAAACCCTGGATGATAGTATGTGGTTGAGTTGGCAATAAATATACTTTCTACGGTTCACAATTTTTAAATAAATAACTTATTTTTCCACACGTTGAGTCTCTATTTTGTTTCAACTTTGCATAATACTTATTGTGTCTTTTCAAGTTACAGACCCAGGTAGATTATTATGCCTCAATGGGTCAGAAGCCAGAACAAAAGTCTTGAAAAAAAGACAAAATGAAAAAATAATCATTTAATTTACCAATTATCTCCACTAAGGCAGTGGTGAATACAGTATTGCAAACAGTATTACAATATGATATTAATTATATTTTACAAATTCATGCATTTGAACGCTTTATAATAATGATTATGAAAGGGTGTAACATTGCATCCATCTTATAGTTTTGAAGTCATATAGGTCTTTCGCAGTGGGAGGAAACCGTAGGACCTGGAGAAAACCCACGAGGTTGAACAGGCAACCCTACTCCTTGTCACGTACAACCGAGGATGACAGGCCGTATGATACAGCACGCACATGCTAACCATTCGGCCATCCACCCCCCACCCCCACCAAGTGTATAGAACCAGTTCCTGATTCAAAAAGCAAATACCGGTATGCATGGTACTTACATAGCCTTTGTCTGATAAGCAACCTCTGTAAGAAAACACTTCCACAATATCAATAGCCCTTTCCAGCTGTCTTGATCTTCCGAGGTGGCTAACTGAAAAAAAATATGCAATGTATTACATTAGTTGGCTTAAATTGACTAGACAGTTTTGATTAAGTCAAAAAATGTTAATTTAACTACATTTGTTTTGTTTCATGTGTTGGTTTGCTTTGCCACAGATGAGACAGTCATATCTAACTAAGATTCTATCTGTGCTCATACATGTAGTGTACAGTTTTACTATACTAAACTGAATTTTAGATTTCAAAATAGCATAACAGCAATCTTTTCTATAAGAATTAAATAGTTACCCACCAAGAAAAAGCTGCTCTATCATCATTTTTTCCAGCCATTTCTTCCATTTTTTTACTTTTATAATTTCTTTTCTTACATGATCTTTTCCTGGGTGATTTGCATATACATCCAATATTGAAACTGAAAAAATAAATACATTATATGTAATTTACCATTAAAGCTACCATACCATATATACAAACTGTGTGATTTGAAATTGAAACTAATGTATCTATATCTATCAAAAATTTTAATCCCAAGGAACTACCTAAGCCGTAAAAATCTATTTTTATAATCCTTGTTTGTCACATGGTTTCAATGTCGCAGTAAGTAGAAGACGACCATGGTGACTGAGTGAGTTAGGTGCTGGAATACTAGCATGGAGGCCACAGGTTACCTCTTGGGGTTGACCGAGAAAGCTCATCTTGATTTTTCAGAGTGGTTTCCCCTGAGATCCAATGTACACATTGCATGGCGTACACATAAAAGTTCTCTTGGCAGTTTGAATTCACTATGAGAGTAGGCCATAGTGTCGCTGCCCGGACAAACATTTTCTCTTAGCACACTGCATTAGACCAGTCGGAGCTGAACAGTAGGACGTTGTCTTTAAACCCCATTTCATTTCAGGTAATCTAGTATTTTTCTAGTAAGATTGAAGTCTCTCTACTTTCTTTATATGTAAATATCATATTTGAAATAAGCCATACTTTTATTCAATATGGGGTGGGGCTGGGGGGAATGGTCTAGTAGTTAATGCATTCACATGAAATCACAGGGTCTGTCATTGTGTTAAGTGGCATGGTTTCGATTTCAAGGAGTAGAGTCGCCTGTCCAATCTCTTGAGTTTTTCTCTGGGCCATTCGGTTTCCTCCGTTTGCTAAATACCCATACCAGCAAACGAATTATTCATATCAAATTTAACCTTACCTGTCCTTTTTCCCGAAACAACCTAGCGTCTGTAGGCTAAGTAGAATGGAACAGTGTGCAGGGAAATGGTGGAAACGGAAGAAAGCTAATCGTCGTCGTAGTTGATTACCGGTATGCATATAGGCATAGCTTGGACTACTTGATTCTTCAAATACAAGTACACGTAAGGCCTTGTTTATGTCATTTTTCTCTCTCTGTTGCATGTAAGTGTCATATAAATACTTTACTTGGGATTGTATGTTCACATACACTAATCATTGTAGGACATTGGTAAAAAAAAAAAATAGAAAATATAAAAATTAAATGAAATTGTTACCAGTTTTTCTTCAAATTCCAATTCAATGCCAAAATGGAGTCCTTGAACGGTAAATTCTCAATACGGTAATTGCTGTAACTGTAAGGTGGAATGAGTCATATCATCACTGACTGGAAAAAATAATGAAACTATAGAGAAACTTCCACAGACTGATTCTAGTTCCATTATTTATTATTTATTAACTGTGACTGAATCAGGAAAATAGGGGCCTAATAATATTCCACAGAGTGACAGAGTCGGAGGTTGAACGGAGGGTTTGGGGAAAATATCTGCTTATTTGATTTAAGGTTGTTTTTTTAAACATAAATTAGATTACAATTCAACTAACACAAAAGTGTAAAAAGATTTTTTCTAGTCTGTGCCCGCGTTTATGTCTACTCTTGGCAAAATCGTTATAATATAAAAAAAATCATGAAACAAGAATCAAAATGGCCGCCAATCGGGTCTCCAACGCCAATCCAACCTCCCAAGATATAATTTCAAAACAGATTCTTACCTGCTGGTTCAAGTCGAACCGTTTCTGCTTTAATCATAATGCGATTCTGTAATGTAAGTATTTGAACAACATCGTAGCGCCGAACAACTAATGTTAATTAAGCATGATTTCAGAAAAATTGAACAGATTTGATAATAACATGCCGAAATTTTTTTCCTGACCGCGCCATATTATAAACATGAACTTCCGGTTTAAATTGTTGGAGGTTTTTTTAAGGAAACGAAATACTAATATTATACAGAGAAACAATATCGATGCTAAATTACATACATGGTATTATTTTTTTTATATAAATATTCACAAACCTGCGGTCTTGTATTCTATGTGACCATTAGCTTACATTTGTCAAACATATCACTGCTCCAAAATCATTTCAGCACGTTGTTAAATGTTAAATTAATTGTGTGAAATCACTTCATTTAATGTCCGCTTCCACCGAGATGACATCGCAGACAAAATGTAGCCTATAGTACGTTGATTTTATCAACCAATCACATTCAATAACAGTTTTACTTATTTTCTTGTCAACGCATTTGGAGTCAATTGTTAAAATCACACCGGGCATGAGCGCTCAACAGGCCTTTGATCTACCAGTTTATTGGGCCCAACTTTATTTTAACTACAGACATCTTAACACCAATTAGCATTCAAGTCTGTCTGGCTATATTGTCTGAGTAAAAAATACCTTTCTCTTACTTGTGGTCCCCCGAATTAAGACTTTGTATGGAGTTCAAATTTAAAAAAAAAAATATTTGTTGACGGTACACATTACTTGTGTTAATTATATGGAAAAAACACAAGATTTGTGTTAATGCATTAAAAAGAACACAAGTTTGTGTTAATGCAATGCAAAACAACACATAACTTGTGTAGAATAATTTTCACACAAGTACTTGTGTTGAGATCCAACACAAGTTTTTTTTCAGTGTAGACTATTAAATTGTGTTCGCAGCAAAATATTACTAAAATATGAATTCTGTCCTGGAATAAGACCACATCCACTACACAAACGGTCTTATCGACGTGTCTGTTCAACGTGACAGAACTGTAGAGGCATATCATGAGCACTAGTGAACAACGCAATGACAGGCCTTGAAAGCCATTCAACTATTCGTTGTATTGTGGGATCACTAATGATCACGACATCGTTACCAGCTGTACTTGTACATATCTATTCTGATAAGACCACGAGGTCGAACGAACTACTTGCCGTACTATTCAACATTTAATTGATTTTGTTGTCTAATATTAGATTGGTTATAATCCAATACACGCATTGTTTGATGTACTCAAAGGGAGATAATCAATAAAAAAAACTACTTGAACGGCCACGCCCACCGTTAGACAGTGGCCTGTAGAAGTTTGTTGATGCAAAGGTTGTGAGGGGATCGGGCTGCAGCCAGGTCATTTTGGGACTAACACAGAGTTCAGTTTAATTCAATAACTTGCTTGACAGACCTCATGGTCTTGCGTTCACCATAAGGATGACTGGCGTTGAATATCTCTGATTATATTTGCAATCGTCATAGAGTGATTGGAGGGTGGTGTGGCTGTAGGGGTTACAAAATACATTTTTGTATAGTCGTTCGGATGGTTGGAACGAAATAAGATACCTTGGCAGTTGAAATTCGATATAAGAGTAGGCCATAGGGCTGCTGCCCGGGCAAAATTTCCCTCATAGCACACTGCATGGCTTATGCCCGTCTTCATTAGCCCAGTCGGAGCAGAACAATAAGACATTAAACCTCATTTCAGATCAGTAAAACATTAATGTCCAGCACTATACATCTTAAAAAACGGGTGTATAGAGAGGTGGGTGAATGTGAAATTTTGGCCGACAAAATCCATCTACCAAGGGATATTTTACGTACACGGGACCTCGGTTTTTCGTCTTATCCGAACGCCTAGACAGCTGTCCTTGTCACAGATCCTCCATTCTGCACCACTGACAACGGGGAACCACGTCGGAAAATACCAAAATTATACAAAAGGAACTTACATTTTGCATTATTATAAAACGATAATTAGTTAATTAAGAATATTTAGAAGGCTTATTTGAATTCAAAAGAAGTTATGGAATTCGATAAATTAAATGAATCCCTCGATAAGAAAGGATTCAATACAACCGTGTTTTAGGAAAGAGAGAGAGAGAAATGGGGTTTAACGTCCACTCGACATAAACTAGGTCATTTCGGGACTAACATATGGGTAATTTTTTTATTTCAATAATTCGCTTGCGCGTAGGTGTCTTTAGCAGTGGGAGGAAACCGGATAACCCGGAGATAACCCACGAGGTTGGACAGGCGACCCTACTCCTCGTCACGTACAACCGGGGATTCGAAACCACGCCAGTTGACTCAATGATAATTGTTTGCGCGGGTTTCATATGAAAAGGGGGACTACCTTCGTGAAAGACCGACAATTGGAGGCAGACCACCATTAATTTCCCCATTGACTTCAATGTTAATTCTGGTCGGTTTGCCCACCTCCAACCTCTCCCCAAAATTTTCGTTGGGCTGAATGCTTTTCACTACAGACAGAGGAACAAATGGTCAATGTCTTTGCACTAAAATTTGTATGAGGTTGACCACTAAAATTTTGAGATACACAAACTTGAAGAAGCATACTAAAAACATGTAACTAGTTGCCGTACATTTCACCGTAGCCAACCTGATAACCCCGTTATGCTTCCGCCTCAAAATCATGAATATTTACCAAAACTTGGTAGAAAATGTTTAATTCAAACCCTCTTCATCCATTCTAGACACAAAAATGGACATGCAAAAGGGGAGAAAAGAGACAGAGAGAGAATTGCTATAAATAGACGAACTACAATTGGATACAGACTAGTTATACCAATAATACCTTTCTCCGTCTTCCTGCCCTTTGCATGGCATTTTGTATTGATTTATTGGTCTAACACCGAGAAAAAGACTTTGAATTTACATTTTTGATGAATATTCAGGATTTTGAAGAGCTAGGATTAAAAAGTAAACAGACACGAATTGCGGAAATCGCATAGCCTATGTTTTTTTTAGACCGGGCGAGGCAAAAATCGAGATGGCGAACATCCTTCAACATTTTTATCAGTGACATCTTGGTTTCGCTGAGGTTATAAAGTGGTTCTACAGATTAAGCTTATTCAAATACATGATATTGGCCAAGGAATGGCCAGGTCCATTTGGTGATACATAGAATTCAGATATTTTGTGAGCAGTTTTAAATCTAGTGCTATAGGGGAAATTTTCCTTTAAATCTAGATCTATATATGGGATTTTGTCCTTTTATATCGACAACAAGATTTAATAAAACATACAATTTTATTTTAAAAGATACATTATGTAAGATCTAGATAAGAGCTGACATTTCTCACTATTATAGTTTTAAAAAGATGATATAAAATGTATGTATTGAATATTTCAGTCTAATTACTTTATTCTGATCGAATGTTGGCAGTTTTGGTAAGAGTAGCTAGTCTCGATTTTCATTGCCACTATTGTTAGGCCTACGATAATTTTAATAAGTTATATAATATTTGAGGCCAAAATAAAGACCTGCAATAGGCAGATTTAGCTCCTATATAATATATCTTTACAAGAGTCAGCGTGATAATCTGATTCGTTATATTTGTAATCAACATCGTCATTTAAATTTAAGTAAAAGTATTTCTTTAGCATCAATTCCCTCAATGTCATAAATTCTAGTGGTAGCTTTTTTATTTTTTTCAAGATACCAGCCCCGATAACAAATCTGATAGCTCGTCTACAAATATACTGTAAATTTCTAACTTCCGGTATTCCCAGAAGTCGGCTGCCTTACTATCAACCTGTTGTTGCGGCTCGTATTTGTCTTCTGGAGTTCGATATAACAGTGTCACAATCTCAGGTGATGCTCCGTTTTCATATAAGATCTTTCCAACCATCAAAACGTCAGAAAACTTTTCTTTTATTTTGGTGAAAATATTTTTCAAGGAAATAGCCGATAGTTTTCAATCAATAAGTATAGTATAACATCTGTGTCCCCCATACTCAGCAACATATCAGGCAACAAAGGGATGGGAAACTCTCCATGGGCATTAGGTGCACAATCATATTCGTTCATCAAAATCAATTTCAAAATATTAATCCATTGACCATTGAAAATACTAATGTTTAAAGTAGCTAAGTCTTTAACTCAGTATCATCCAAAGTCTTCGACGTTGAAAACACGAATTATTTAAATCAACATGGATGCTGTTATCTTACCGGGAAAATATGGGCTTCTGATATCCAATATTTAAGACAAAATAAACATTTTACCCTTATTACACAAATCGTAAATAATGCGTTTCAGCGTCATTTGTAACAAGGGATTTGACGAACGAGGCTAGACATATTGCACAAGTCATATCAAACGATGACGTCATATTGTTATCTGGAGAGCATGCGCAATAAATTCTATCGTTGTAGAGTGGAATAACCAGACGCTAGAGGTTGCCATTCGATTGAGACTTCTGGCGTATTTCGCGGAACATAACTGAAATTAAGAGTTAAAACGGAAACGATTGAATGTAAATCAGTTTATATACATTCATATTACATAATAGACCGTATTAGCTTGTTCTCTATCCATCTCTCACAATTTACTTTTGATTTTGACGAAACTTGAAATGTAAGTTTATAACCCAAAGATCTTGGTTCCTTTCGATATTCGCGCATCTCGGATAGTAACTTCCTGAATTATGGCGTTTTTAGCTTGAGGTCCCTCTAGATGTCACAATTATTATTCGATTTAAAAAAAAAAACGTTCAAATATATAACTGTTACACCGTAATTTTGGTTGCCTTCGAATTTCGTGAAAATCGGACCAAAACTGTCGGATAAAATGCCCACTCCTCGTACACAATTAGCGTAAAAATATGGTATATCAAAGTTTTGGATCCTCGGTCAGAATTTTTTCTGATTTTGATGAAACTTGAAATGTAAGTTTATATCCCATAGATCTTGTTTTTTCCAATATCGGATCGTAACTTCCTGAATTATGGCCCTTGATTGAACAAAAAATCACGTTTTTAGCTTGTGGTCCCTGTAGAGGTCACACTTTTTTAAAATCAGACACCATTACACACTAAGATCTTGGATCCATTTGATAATCGCGGATACCCGAACTTAACGTCCTGGATTATGGCCCCTGATTGTTCGAAAAATGGCATTTTTAGCTTGTGGATTCTCTAGAGGTCACAAAAACGTTTAAATATATCACCATTCCACCATAATGAAGGTTGAATTCGAATTTCGGGAAAATCGAAATGAAACTGTCCAACCAAATGGCCGCTTTTTGTACGCAAATTGTGGAAAAGTATGCAATACGAATGTTGTTGACCCTCTAGAGGTCACAATTACTATCCTATTTTGATGAAACTGTAAAAATATCTTTATATCCTAAAGATCTCAGTCCCTTTTGATATTTGCGCTTTTCAGACCATAACTTTCTGGATTATTGCCCCTGATTGTACAAAAAATTATGTTTGTTTTTAGCTTGTTCTCTATCCATGTCTTGCAAATGTGGGCGTATCCTGCCTGGCAGCCGCTGGTTTTCAAAAGTAACGAGCAATCAAACTACACACTAAGCTTCATTACTCTCTATCAGATAGAATCAAGATTATCTTGTCCGAAAGCATCGACCAATGAAATTGATTAGCTCTGCTTAGCTTTAGCTTGAAATGTTAATCATTGAAATCAGTCAAGACATTCACCTAATGAACATCTTCACCAGGTTTAAACATTCTACCTCAATTAAAAGCAGAGTTTTTATGTTCCAAAGTCTTGACCAATCAAATTGCTTATGGCTCCTTAGCCCATGCAGAAAATTAGTCAAGGTAATGAGATAATGAATCTATATTCAGAGTTTCATCGCTCTCACTACATTATAACCAAAGTTATCGT